ATTGTCGATTATTTCAAAAATTTATTTCTCAAGAACTGAAAGTGATTTTTCAAAACGGCTTTTTGTATTAAAAAGAGGATACTTTAATTAATAATCGAAAGTGATAACAGCGACAGTTCTGTTAGTAATGAATGTGATGATGAATTACAAGCGAAGAGAAGAAAACAAGAGATTTTACATATCGTATTGGGATTGTTATAATGAGGTTGCTAATGACAAACCTGATATAAATAAAGTTGTATTCGATGAAAAAAGTCCTATTGGGGTTGAACTTCTTGGGGAAGAGATACTAATTCCTATGAATGGTGGAGTACTAAGTAATAGGTTTTTAATATCCGGCCAAAGCTGGATAGTTGCCAGATATCTGTTCCACGACTAATGTAGACTGATTGTTTTTTCTGGACAAAAATGTACATGTTGAATTGTTCTGTGATTGTTTTCAGCTTGCTCAGCAGATGTTGATACGGGGATTTCCTCCGTTTAAGTGTGTTACTCTCGTCTATCAATATTATTCTCTTGTAATATACTCTTAATACATCACCAAGCTGTATTCTATCGAATGTTTGAGTGAAGCAGACGTAGCGGAGCTTATTGAACTCTATAGATTTCTCTGTTAATTGACGTAGCATAAATATTGCGTCTATAGCGGACCCGTTAGATGAAAATCCTTGCTATTCTTCACTTATTCCTTTTTGTGTTGTTGTTTTCTAATGAAACCTTGTTGTTCTTCGCAAATCTGTATAGAATTTTCCACAGTTCGAGATAAGAAGTTTGCTAAGTAGAGCATTTTTAGCAAATTTCCCAATTATCTTGTTTGCGTCTATAAAAGGATTAAAAGAGTTTCAATTAATTTCATTAGAAATCGTTTCACAAAAGAAAAAAAATTCAATAAGGTGAAAATCTATTGTTACAGAATTTCTTTAATGTATAACAATTAACGTGTACGCAATTAACATTTAACAGCGAGAGAAAAAAACTTTCCGATAGTTTTCCTTCCAAGAAGAATTCGACTACCTTTCCTATTCTTAGATTGGAAAACTCGTCGTGTACGTGCCGGCGAATCTAATCGTTTGGCAAAAGGAAAAATAACGGTCCCAACAGTTGAAATACCCGTTATTCCTTCATCCGCGCAGCGAAACCAATAGGCATCGATGGCCGTAGTATTAAAAATATGAACAAGAACAATACCTCCGATAAAGTTGCCAATATCGAACGGAAATGATGCGTTGCAACTTGTCGTCGTTTTGTAATTGAATTACGAGGTCGCTGTTGAAAAATTGCATGCACAGTTAAAAACCGGTAAAGTTTTATGTTGTCGTAACGCTAAATAAAGTTGAAGTTGTAAGTAGAAGCGCGGCGCCGCAAACAACGTGGTTGTTCCTCTGTATACGAAAGTAACCGGCGATATCAAAAACTTCTCGACTCTGTTGAGTTCTTGAGCCAGTCTCCGTTCGGAATCCGCGCGGTTCGGATTTGTGTACCCCCACGATTCGATTCGAATTCAGTTTTAACCGGTATATAAGTGACAAGACATTAAGATGTAAAAGAAGAAATTAAAAGAGGAAACTTTTCGGATAAAAAGTGTAATAAATTTTTTAAATTACTTTTAAGTTAACGTAAGTTTTTCGATTTTAACAAAGTTGGTTAAAATTTGACCTAGATATTTAATATAATAGAAAAGTGTTTTCACTCGAGATAAACTGGGTAATTACCGTGTGAGGTTTATTTCTATTTTCATCTTTTTATAATACGAAAACTTTTCACTCATTTAAAATCGAGAAAGTGAATCAAAACAATTTTTGATCGTTTTTATTTTAGCCTATTTAGATGAATTATTTTTTAAATAATTTAGTGTTATTCATAACTCGAAAAAATCTTAATTAATGAAAAGAATAAAACCGTTTTCGCTCGAATGTGCGTTGAAAACAGCCTTAGTATTTGAAAGTAGAAACTATTACGTAAAGGCATGGAATCGTTGATATTTAGCTTGCGCATTGCCGCCGGCTAACGATTAGAAGTCCCCTAATCGCGTTTCCTCAAATTGCAACCTCTCGAGTTTATGGGTTAATCGTTTCATTAAGGAGGCGCCAATTTTTCTTTTAACATTCACGAAAAGTTTATTAGAGCGCGAATTTATTTCTAGAGTACTAAATTTCCCGTTGCTGCTCTAAGGATTCGTTGCGCGACCCCAAATCTGGACCTTCCGTTAGTTTGGTATGTCGAGTTGATATAAAAAGAGAACTAGACCCGGTTATGCCCTTCCTGGGTCAAGTCCATAAATTTAAATGTTAATTGGAACGACAGAGACACTGCTCACAAGCAAGCGTGTCGTTCTAAGTTATGCATATGCAATGCCGTTCGACCTTCATATTACTGAATGTTGAATTGACTTAAGAGACTTCACCCAATCAACTAAGCCTCTATCACTCTCGTGAGTCACCCGATTGTTTTGATTCGATTACACCTTTCTTCAAGGAAATAATAACTTTTACACGCAAAAAATAACTTAATATTAATAACTTAAGATGATTATATTGCTTATACAGCTAGATCTGTCTTAAAAGCAATTATTCGTTGGTTAACATTAATAATTAGGTATTTCGAAAAGCATAATAAGGAAGTAAGATGCTTGAAAATGCGTTAACAGTTTTTGCTGAACCAAGGATATTGCGTAATCGTCGGGCAACCAACAGGCGTGCAATTTCGAAGGCCGTGATAATAAGCTGTAATTGTTTCATAAAATCAAACGGGTTCATATTACAACCACTACTTATTGAATAACCCGACGTAATCAGTTTTATTATTTTTATTACATTCCTTCTATTAGAAAAAAAAACTTATTTGCTTCTACTTAAACGATACTAAAATTCGAATGATATTTATATGTATAACATATTCCCAGTTTTTAACAACTTGGAAATTACATGCATATCTGATCATCGAGGTTTTTCCATACATCTAATTCAGCCCAATTCGAGTCTTGGTCTCCTCAATTTTCCTCTTTCATCCATATCTATCTTCGGATGCTCTTTTTCAGTTTGCAGTTTCTAGCAGTAAATACTCCTACCTCTAAGATGTCCTTGTAGTCTCTTTGGTGCTCTTCCATCTGGCATCAACATGCTCTGCCTATGTTAATCGTTTGAACATTACATTTTAAGCATTTTATTGCATTTTATCCATCGTTTCCCCTCTCCCCCCTCTCCTAAGATCTGCCCTCGGTCCAACTCCTCCTCCCTCACCTCACTGCACCCATTCAACATATGTTCCAACGTTTCCCATTCCTCCCTGCATAGCCTACACCACCTCTCCTCATCGGGCATCCAGTATCTGTTAGCTCTCTCCTCGTTTCCACAACGGAACCACCAACTTCTTCCCTTCCTCATCTCCTTCCAATAACAAGTATCTAGGCAGCCCCTCCATTATTATGTCCCTGTACCTTTCGTTATACCTCCCCTCTTTTATTTGTGTCCTTCTTTTCTGTCTCTGTACATCTCGGTCCCTATCTCTCAACTCCCTCCACATCTCCCTACCCACCCTTCGTCTACTATTTATCTCAGTTACCGAGTAGCCCGCTCGTCTATAATAGTTGTCTCTGTCTCCTTTCCCATATCTGATCTTTCCCTCTCTAATTTCCCTCCAACTTTGGCCTCCCTTCTATTCTTTCTTCATATTTCACTGCTCTCCTGCCCGCCTCCACTCTGACCTTATCCACCTTTACCTCTTCCCTCACTATATACCCCGGTGTTTCTCTCGCCACCCCAAGCACCCATCTCCAGTATCTAGCTTGCACGTCCTCCAGCATTGCCTGCTCTCTCCATCCCCATACCTCTGCTCCATACATCATCACACTGCTAACCAGGCCTTCAAACATAATCTTCCTCGCTGCCACATTCCAGAAAGTCTTCCAAAAACTCTCTTCCCCCAACCCCATACTTGTCCCATCACCTTATTCGCCTTTTTTGCCATAGCTATCACATGCGACCCCTCCCTGAACACATACCCCAAGTAAGTATACTCCCTAACCTCCTCGATCTCTTTTCCCTCCCATCTCCAGTTTTCTGTTCTTCTTCTCCCACCCTTACAAAACTTCATCATCCTTGTCTTCCCCACATTCACTTCCAGCCCCTTCCCCCTAAAATATCTTTCCAATGTCTTTATCATATCTTTCATCTCCGCCTCTTCTCTCGCCATGACCACGATGTCATCCGCGTGTGCTAACATATGCACCTTTCTACCTCCCACCACCAACCCTCCCATTTGCCCCTTCCCCAATCTATCCTCCAGGTCCGCCGTATACAATGCAAACAGACTTGGGCTCAGCGGACATCCCTGCCTCAGTCCCTTCGTCGTCCAGAACACGTCGCTCAGCTTATCTCCCACTTTTATCCTAGCCATAGTCTCCATGTATATTTCCTTCACTCTCGCAATTAGGTGTTCCGTGATCCCCCTCCTCCCCATCTCCTCCCACAACTTTCCCCTATCCACCTTATCAAAAGCCGCCTTCAAATCTATAAATAGGGCGTACAATTTCCCTCCCTTCTTATCCAGCTCTCTATCTGCCAGATGCTTCAACACGTACACGTTGTCGATTGCTCCCCTTCCCTTCCGAAAGCCTGCCTGCCCATCGGGCAAAATTCCCCCCAACTCCATCTCCTCCTCCAGTTTTCCCAGCAGTATCTTCGTGTATACCTTGTATGCCGAGTCTAGTAGGTTAATTCCTCTGTAGCTCGCTACCCTTCCCTTATTACCCTTTTTATATACTGGGCAAATTACCCCCACTTTCCATCCCTCCGGAAACCCACCCCCTCTCCATACGCTATTCATCCCCTCCAACAACTTCACTCTCACCACCCTTGATGCTTCCAACCATGCCTCGTTCTGGATCCCATCTTCCCCTTGCGCCTTTCCCTTCTTCAATCCCCTAAGCACTGCTTCCATCTCCTCTTCTGCTATCTCCTCTCCCCCATCTCCCTCATAGCCTCCCAAACCCGTTAGCCTCGTTTCAACCCCTCCCAATAATCCCATAAAGTAACTCTCCCAATCTGCCATGTGTATTTCGCTGGTTATCCTCTCCCTACCCTTCTTTCTCTTTTTCAGATACCTCCAGACCTCCCCTTCCCTCGTTATCCTTCTAATCTCTGCCGCCTCCTTCTCCCTCAGTTCTGTTTTCTTTCTACTGCCTAACTCTCTGTACATATTCTGAGACTTGTGGTTCCTCATATAGTTGGTACAATTCGTGGTCTCCAATTGGTCTTAACATTTTCCTCTCTAGTGTATCCAATCTCTGCGTTTCTTCATTCGCAACACTTCTCGAGTTCTTTTTTTTTGCAAAGTGAAGATTTTGATGATGAAGTAATTGAATTCTCGGTTTAATGTCTTAAAATCGTATTATGCCATCAGTATGTTATCATTCTCATGTTTTCTTTTCCTTGTTTTCAGCATCCTATTGGCCTGTATTCTCAGTTTCTGATATATATCTTATTTGACTATATTTGATTCTAGCTTCATTTCTCCATTCTATCACTTCGCAACAATTCTCCACCAGCCCTTTCGTCTGCCGCTTGGTTTTTGCCCAAGGTTGCTTCCACCACTTTTTCCTTAACTAGCTTCCATTCATTATCTATATTCCCCATATTGCGTTCCTCATCTATTCCTGCGTGGAATTTCTCCTCTACCGCTACTTATTAATTTTTAGTTCCCCTGCTACATTTGATATTTGAGGTCCATGTATATCTTTTTTTTTTGGAAATATGTGCTTTTAATCATGTTTGTTGAAATCTCAAATTCAATTATTCTTCTGCCATTATCGTTGCAGTCACTGCGTAGGCTGTTTGGCTTCTCTATATAGATACTTATAGACTACTTATAGACTACTTTGCTGTTGTGGTCCCCCTACAATCATTTTGATGTAGTTTGAGGTTGGTGTGTCTGTATCTACATGTACATTGATTATAGAGAGGTTAAAGAAATTTTATTTTTATCCTTAGTGATCCCAAAGATCTAATTTTCAAGTCTGCCAACGATTTTTCCCTTTCTTTTCGTCATTACAGATTTAGCCAAAAAAAAATTATCATATTACTTTATCGAACAACATACATAAGAATTATAACTTTCTAAAAAATAATGACCATGTATACATCATAACGATATCTTTTATTTTTTAATTATTTTTTTTTTCTAGAATAAAATGAAAATTTCACCGTTCTAGTTTTACTAAAATGTAAACTACTTACAAAATCTCTATAATGTAAAACTAGAAGTGGCTTGAGCTACGACAAACAACTTACTAACGTTCGTTTCTTTTGTGTTTTCAGCGAACGAGGCCGCGGTTTCACTGAATCATGACAGATTGGGTTTCTGTCTCACAAAAAGCTCGATAAAATCGTTATAATAATAACAATTTCTTCGGCCTGGTACGCGAGAAATTAGCACGTTCGGAAAATGTTGGCCACTAACGTCCTTTGCCTTAAAAAGAAGCGGAAGAAGAAGAGTTATTACGTCGCTAATGTTGCCCAGTATGGAGGAAAACAATCCGTCGATAAAAGGTAAGTTATGAGGATTGTGTAAAGTTTAATTGGGTGATTACAACGAAATTGATGCTGTAAATTGCGAATGATACATGTTTCATCAGTCGTTTATTTTATCATCTTGTCAGTTTCTTTTTTTTTGAATGTAATTATTTGTGTCATTGCAAAATTAACAGTAATTTCAATTGAAACCGACAAGAATTGCTCGAAATCGGCCCACCGATTGCATGGTTTCTGCCGTTTGGTTAATTGGTTCAAGGCGAGCAAATGAACTAGGTATATTGCCTGCCTCCTGCATTCGCGACGAGCCGATCGAAAAAGTCGGTTCGCATTCCAACCAAGGCGGTGGAACCCAACGTGTACAAGAACCGTATTGTGCATGCTGTAAGAATTCCACGTGCAGAAACCTTACCAACAACAAAATCTGACCTGAACACTATTCTAAAAAAAAAAAAACACTTTTAAGCGGTGATTTTGATTAAGAAATAACATTCTATACTTTGTTCACGTTACATTCTTCTTAATAGACAATTTTGTAACTTTGAAATTGAGATTTTGTCTCCTTGGTCATTCTTTTTTACTTGTCGTATCTATTACGTTGAGTGTCTCTTATGGATTGCTCAATTGCGTTATCGTATTAATGGTAGGTTTAGAGATTGGAAGCGAGAAAAACGAGATGTATCCCGGCGGCTGCGGAAACATTAGAGAGAACGCAAGGTCACCATGAGGACCGAGATCTCTCGTTCCTGCAACGCAGCACTACTACCTGTTAATCGACGGCGTGCCCTATTTATCTTGTTGCGCCGCTACGCGCATAACTGTTTATTTAGAGAAATTATTGCGAGAGGTCCCTGTGGTTTTAGTGTTTGCGTTCGCTCTTTAAAATAACACACCGTTTGATGTCTTACTTCATTTTCAAATTGTCACACACAAGTTGAATATTATTAAATAAAATGTTAACGTAATTATAATTTCATTAACATTTTTATTAAATTGCAATCAAGTTTGGTAAAATTTGATATTTATAACAGGAACTGGTTACATAACAATAACATGTTGTCTTATGACACATGTTCTTTTCATTGTAATTTGGCATCTAAGGTCATGCCTAAATACTTGGCTTCTAACCCTTGGTCCCAGACTTATAGTACCATCTTGTTCGTTGTCTTTCACAAATTCAACTTTTAATTCTTGGGTTAGTCAGGGATTTTGGGTTCTGCAAGAAGGAACCACATCAATCCAATCCTGAAAGCTGTAAATGCAGAGAAGCACATTCTGTGAATTATAGAGGTTGCATAATAGTGCGAAAAATACTAAATCTCACATAAAAAAAGATTACAAGAACATGTTCTTCCATTACTTGCTTATACCTGCATAACACAATGTTGTCATCCCATTAATATGGTTTTTGGCGTTTTCTATAATATTCTAGATTATTTAGATTAATTTTCTTAGGTTGTATTATTTTCTAAGTGTGATGTAATTTTTAATTGTTATTCTTACTAGTTATCAATTTTTTCTACACTTGTTTTTATAATCTGATAAAATACATTCACATACCTTCAATACATAAATAGCTGTATTTACAAATACAAAAACGTTTTATATGCATTAGCTGTTACTTTGGCCATATTGTTATTTAAACAAAGTGTTGAATAATTCATTCAACAAGACCTGCTGTTATTCCGTTCGTATTGCCAGATCGCTTTACGTAATACAGCCACTGATAATAATAAAGATATTATTATTATACACCTACGGATGTAACCGTCGCCGTTGTCGCAGTTTCTGGCGAGTCCTTTGTCCTTGAGTTGGGTTTGTTTTGGCTTGGTTTACTTTCCAGACATCCAGCTTCCTCCTCCTTTTCTCTAAACATCACGTTACAAAGTCGTTATAGCTTCGAAACGCGATCCTCTCTCGATCGTAACCGATTAAAAAAGTAAAAGAACACTTCAAATGGAAATACACTATTTAAATCCATTTGAAATGGTTTGTAAATTTGAAAGGAAATTGCTTGATACACATCTGGGTAATCAATAGACATTAAAATGGTTAGAAACTCAGAGGAAAGTATGTAAATGAACTCGAATTTGGCAGGGAAAGTACAGGTTTTGTGTTTATGGTTCCTTGATTTTGATAAACAGAAAGAAATTTTTTCGAGAAAGGTTAGAAAAGATTAATTTTAAATTTTTTTGACTTAGTTATGTTTTAATTAACTACAGGAAAACATCGATAGTTCGGGTTTGGCCGCAGATCTCTCAAGACGACTAAACCCGAATGATTCTTGTTCTAGCTAGTGTTAGTTCTAGTTTTAGTAGTTCCTCAAGTATTTGAGCCTATGATCAAATCGGTTAATTTATAATGATTTAATACAAAAAATTAAATATTTCCCCACGAAATTATCCCGATAATATTAAACAATAAAGTTCTTATAATAAATTTTAAGTTTAATAACAAATAACTTTACACTTACAGTTATTTAACTTTTAAACGTCAATTTGACAATTAAACGTCAAATCCAAAATCGTTAAAAATATAGATCTCAAAAATCAGTTAATTTAATGTAAAATATCTTATGGAAATACTAAAATTAGCGAAATATATCACTATAAATCAAAAAAGTTATAAAAAAACTTATATGATATATTAGATATTCATCAAAATATTTCCAAAAATTTAGGTTGGTACGATTTTAGGGATATGTGTTGTGATTTTTAAACGTCAAAATGACGTTTAAACGTTAAGATGACATTTGTACGTCAAAATTATTACAACAATCAAAAACGGTTATAAATAATTTTAATATTGGAACTAACACTAGATTTAGAACTAGAAACATTCTGGTTTAGCCGTACGTTTAAGACGGCCGAACCCCAATGTATCTATGTAGTTCAAGAAGTCTTTTAAGATGGCTAAACTCGAATGTTTCTAGTTCTGGTTCTAGTACTTGAGTTATCTCTAGTTTTAGTTGTTATTCAGAGGTTGTATTGTGTAATAAAATCTTAATTAAATTTAAAATGGTATTATAGGCAACACAATTCGCAGATTTCTTGTTGCTATTGTAGTCTATACAGTTGGCGGTTTAAAAGTAAAAATTCATGACCGTCGGGTTCTTAGTGCTGTTAACATTAAATAACGGCTCCACGGTGAGTGCCCGGTGCTTCTTAATTTCCGCTCTGCATTATTTGACGTTCGTAGCTCGTGCGATGCAGACAATTCAAAATAACACCTTAAACCCGGTTATTATAAGTGTTGTATACATGTTAATTTATTCAAAAATCTTAGTTTTTTTCATTAAAAATAAAGTATGATTTGTACGTGCGATTCTTTTCGATCCTCGTGAGTTGACACCGTCACGCACCGGTGAGTTTTAATATTTTTTTATATATTTTTATTGCCTTCTTTCAAAGTGGGTTAGCTTAATTCGATTATGTTCTAAAGTGGGGATTTTTTTTGCGTTAGTGAGTCAATAATTTTTATGGAAAAGAAATCAGAAATTTTTTTGCGCTTATTCCTCTCTACTTAATCATCTTTACCTGGAAGATTTTAAACGGTTTTTTGGTTTCTTTTATTGGTAGAAACGCAAAGTATTAATGGTGACACAAAAAGATATTTCTTCTTCTTGTCAGTGTTTAATGTTCTTCGAAGTCTTAGTTGTTATCTAACGGTTAGGATTTTACGACTGTTGATGAATTCGTTGACGTCGTCATCATTTCAATTCATTTCGTGCACAGATTTCCGTTACAAACAACAAAGGACTCTTAAAAGCCGGTTGGCACAGGATGTCATCGTTCAATGTTGCAACATTTTTTTATTTATTAAATGTTGCTTTATTAAATTTAATTTGACACAATTTTTAGTGCTGAATTTATAAACATAAATCAACATAAACAACTTAATAACATCTTAATGAATCAAAGTTCAAAACAATTTAATGTACTAGAAAAGTTCCTATCAACATTAATTTTTGTATGATTTAATAGGAGATTCATCATGGTCCAATTCCTTTCTTAACGAGTCGTTTTCTACTTTTTTATGTAATGGTGTAATTATGAAGGAATTTTTTATGGTTAACATAGAAAAAGAAAAAAAAATAATAAATAAAGTAAACACGAATGGGTCTTAAGTGATTGTAAAACACGACATTGAGAAAGATTAAATCGCACGTTACTTCTTTAAAAAGTGACACACGAAAGGGAACGCCGCCGTAAAGTAATCGTCCAAACAAATTGGTAAAGCCATCTCGCGCAGATAGCAGCAGATACTTTCACGAGATTTCTATTTGCACTCGGCAAATACGGTAAGCAACGTAGCGAGAAGAACGTGTCTTAAAGATTTTCACATCGTCCCTAGCCGTTTCAATCATGGCTTTTATAATGCATTTCGTTCTTAATCAAGCGTAAAGTTAAACGTGCTAAAATCATATAAATAAATCAAAAAGGAAACAAACAAAATTACGAGCGAATTTTTCACACTTTCGGTCTTTAACTTCACGACAAATGTCGAAGGAAAGATTTTAATTAAGGAAAAGCACGCGCGCATACAAATTAAACGGCTTAGGACAAAAGACCGATAGCTTCCTGTTTCCTTAACACTAAATAGGCATTTCGTCTTATAATTACTTTTTACTTTCACGGGCTTCACAAAATGATAATTAGGTGTGTAGAAAGGACGCGATCGTAAATAAATTTGAAAGTGGCAGGACAATGCAAAACGTGGTTTTATAGGAGAATCGTTTTTAACTATGTGATTATACACCTTTTTGTTACAACACTTTAGAACATAGATAATCGTTGTATTCTCTTAATTTTTATAATCCAAGTTAAATTATTCCTCAAGTTGTCTATATGATGTATAAATCAAGGATGGTAATNTTCAAGACGTCTTTTAAGATGGCTAAACTCGAATGTTTCTAGTTCTGGTTCTAGTACTTGAGTTATCTCTAGTTTTAGTTGTTATTCAGAGGTTGTATTGTGTAATAAAATCTTAATTAAATTTAAAATGGTATTATAGGCAAC